TTTTTTTTTCTTTGAATTAATGATTGGGAGACAAAAAAAATATTGCTTTTAATAAATATTATCGCAAAGACGGTTATCAGCCGGTGGGACGGTTTAAATTGGCAAAGAACTACGTGAAGTATCTGGCGAGTTTAGTCATGGCCATTTTGTGTGAAGTATACGACATGCTAAAGTACACCTAATATGGCATGTAAAGACTGCTTATGTGATACTTAAGACCGTTTAAAGATTTAATTAGTTTTATAAACTCGAAAACCATAAATTGGTTTAACCTAACTTTCTTAAATCACTAATAGATTTTAAATCTGGCAAGTTGTTTTTTTTGGCAGCAGGTTCTTTTATCTGCTGATATGGATAATTGGTTATAAACTAAGAAATTTCAATTTGCTTCTTTTACAGCACATTTTCTGTCCCAGATTTTCTGTATGATTGTTTTTTCGTATATCAGATTGCTGTTTATGTAACATTTGCCAAAAAGCCAATGGAATTGTAAAAACTATGAAATTTCTTAACCAAACCTTTCTGTTAAAAATTGTAAAAGCTAAGTTTTTTTACGGGATGTATTACTACTGGAAAATAATATAACGGTGATTTTTTATTTTTTGAAAAGAGAGCCGGTGATGTCTTTTGGAAATCACGGAAATGAGAATAATTATTTATGTAGAGTCAGTCGATGGATTAAGTGTCAAGATCTGGATTCTGTAGGAAAAGATTAGCAAATGCTAGATGCTGCTAACTACAGAGCGACAGTTTTAGAAATAATTTTGACGACTTTGCTAGTCAGTGCTGTCCTGTTTTTGTCAACTGCTTATATCCGGACCGATCTTATTTTTTTTCAGTTCTTTGTTTTTGAACAGAGTTTTCTGTAGAAATGTATGGTAATTTTTCAAGCACGATTTGAACGGTCGCTCGTTTCTCAGATAGTTTTTACTAGACTCCACAGTTTTTTGCAAAACTCAGAAGTTATGATTTTGGTTTTGCTCTGCCGTCATTTCAGAAAACTACCCTTATTTTTTCATCGAGTTATAGTCCAGAAGTGATAATGGTTTTACAAAATGGGGATACACAAAGATCACGAAAATTTTTTTGAGTGAATTATTTTTTTGGTTGCTCATTGAGAATACAGAAAGACAGTTCCATTGTACAGATTTTTGTTTTTGCTAATAGTTCGTAACTGTGAACGTCAAAAGCTATAAGGGAAAAAAGGCGGAAAGAATTTGAATGGGCGCAGAAAGTTGTTTCGTGGTCATTTGAGAGCAGAAGTCCTTGACTCTGGAGCGTCAGAAAAAATCATGATTCCTACGCATTTGAGCTTGGGCGCATGTGATTTTCTCGCTGATCGTTGTTCTTTCGTAAAGTTAGTTTCTTGTTTATTTTTTAATGGCAGAATTGTTTATATTTATGAGCGCATTCTATTTTAGGATTATTAACGGAAAGGAAATACTGACCGTTGAGTAAACTGCCTGCGCATAGTTGAAAAGAAGACTGGCTAAGAAGGTAACAGAGTTTCTATTAGTTTATTTTCAGTGTTCCTTGTTCTTACTGAACGTTTTTAAATTTTCCTTCCAGAAGTACATTTTTTTATTATGATTTATCGAGTCATTATTTCCTTCTAAAAGTTGACATAGAAACTTCGGCACAAGTCTTCCACTAGCTCTTACGAAAGTTCATTCTCCTCTGGTTTATCACTGATTAAGGGGATCTCCTCCAGAGTCGAACAGTGATTCCGATTCAAGCGCGGGATCGGTGAATTCTGATTCTAGTAGTGGTAGCAGTTCTTTAGAGTCATCTTCAGTGAGAAGCTATCAGAAAGGCGACAAAAGCAATGATTTGAAAAGACGCCGAATAGATCACTAAGTGTGGTGATTTTCGTTGTCCTTTAATCCGTAGTATTTCCTTATCTTTCGGCTCAGCTTTATGCTCTCGGTTAAATACATTTGGATCTCACAGTTTTACTGTTACCAAAACAAGTATTTAATTAACACTTTAGATGTATTCTCACTTGCTCTTTTTTCGACATTTCTTCTTATGAAATAGTTCCAAGGAAGAAAAGTAGTAAAGAGCTTCCGTTGGTATAACGAAAATTGTGTTTCAGTTTTTTTAATAACGTCGTTTTTGTTTATTCTTGCTGCTCGTGGCACCGTTCTGCTATACGAGCGCTGTGTGCTGCATGCATTCAATGAATGCATCCCATCGGTGGTCGGCGATCAGAAGAGATAGTCTTATTTATAGTACACGTCTCTCTCCTCTTCTCCACCGGCTACAAAAGGAAATAAAATAGAAGAGGAACAGAAAACTTTTAATTTGAAATAAAAACTGAAGTAAAACAGAAAATTCTTGGTAGTAGCAAATGGCCTCAAAAAGATTGGTTTGGCTTTTGCCAAGATTAGGCCAACAGGTCGGGAAAAGTAGTTCATTCAAAAATTTGCCCACCATACTGAGGGATCGAAAAATTTTTTTCTAGATAAATAACTGAGAAAATACTGGTACTTTTTGGTTACGAAATGCGAGTGATGCCTTTGAACTAGAAAAATACCCACTGAATTGTCGCGACTACCGACGGTCTAGTTTTGGGGAGTTGATCACAACTCCTCTACCGTGTCCCTATCGAGAACCGAACTTCTTATGAACTTTAAACCGCAAGCAATCGTAGTCGCCGACGCTTGCAGCACTATAATTTGAGGACTGTATTCGCCTAGTGGTAACGTTTAATAGTGTTGGCCATCTGGTTTGATTTGATAATTCTTTATTTGTTGAAACCTTCGATTATGAAGAGCGAAGCTGTAGGAATACAAAGTATAAAGAAAGATCACGGAGCACACAAGCCCACAACCTTTCCTAAGAATATATAATATACTATCAATGGAAATCATTGATTGAAAGGCAACACTGACCACAGGTCTTTAGTGCTACTTTATTACAAAGAATTATCGTACGATACAAACAAACAAATAAACTTGACAAAACTTATATAATGATAAACTAAATGAAATTAATAACCAAACTTTAAAATTGAAAATTCAAAAGGAGAGTCGAATAAGTTTGACAATACGAGGAAATATATGAGATTTAAACCAAAAACTGAGCTCTCGTCGTTACCTTGCTCCTTATATACCACTATTGTCGTATTGACCTTTCCACCATTGCCTCCAAGAGTTTCCCCTTACGGCCATGTCTGGGTCATTACAGTCTGCTGCCTTGAGGCCATTTCGCGTGCCGTCCCGACATGAATGATGATGTGATATACTAAGAGCCTATAGGTCGTTTAGGAACTTCTATTATAGGCGTTATTCGAGCAGGAGAGTGACAATTACAGCGGATCTTATTGCCTAGTATTTGATGAGTCAATCAAGGGAAAAGTCCAAAGATTTTTATTATATCGCTTATTATGTTGGATCAAAGTCTTCAGATCTCTACTTGGAATGTTGTTAGTGCTGGATCTCGTTCTAGCGGGAAACCGCGGTAGTTTTGTAACACAATTCGTTCCGAAGCTGGAATTCGATCGCTTTGAATGGCTGCCGCCGGAAGGGATATTCTCTTCAAATAATTTTCCCGCGCTTGATTATTAGAGGAACGCATCGTGGTTAAAGTTTACCTGCATCATTGGCTAGACAGTTTCAATCCCGTTCAAACGTTTGTATTTTCGATTCTGTTCGATGTATAGGGGAGTTCAATCCCAATTTGGGGAGAAATTTTTTGCGAGCAAAATGTGCTTTTTTATGGAGAAATTCCAGCGCGTTGGGCACAATGCCATTGTGTTATACGGAGACACGATGGAGACATCCGGGCGACCTTCCGAAAGGTCTGTTAAACTTTTATGTCAATCGTGTTAATGATATGTCAAGTATTGTTTATTGCTTGTTAATGTCTTATCTCGTTTTGTTTACATTTTCACGGTTTAATTTTCATTTTCAACCGAGATTTCAGCCGAAATGTGAGTTACTTGAATTTTTACACATGATTTTTAACAGTATTACTGTAGTAACTTTGTTAGATGCCCGGAAACGGTACTTTTTCGGTTGCCGTAATCTGCGCTTAAAGTAGCTTAAGGGAATGTAGGATAGAAAAAGGTGACCGCAACAGTTTTTGAGAAATGAAGTCATAAAAAGATAGAAAAAAATAGTACCAAGCCATAGTGCATGAGGAAAACTTGAAAAAACTGTGGTAAAAAAGTAGCGCATGTTGAAGAAAAAGGAACGGAGAAGATAAGGAGAAAAAGTAGGTATATTTTTTGTGCAGCTTCTAGAAAACTGAAAAAAAACTTAAGATGGACGATAAGAAGAAATAAGAAGTGAGTAAAAAAAATAGTACCACCTCATAGTGCATGAAAAAACCTTATAAAAATCTCGTTAAAAAGTAGCGCATATTGAACAGAAATAATGGGGAGAAAAATAAGT